TAGATTTACTCAAGTTTTATGCTAACTCTGTATATGTTTTTATTTTCTCCAATTATGTATCTGGAGAAAATATATATCTTACATATTTATCTCATATCTCTTATTAAATGTTTTTCTTAAGTACTTCCTTTCTCTGCCAGCCTGTCTACCTTCCTTTTCCCTCCCGTCTCCTCTCCCTCTCTCTTTCTTGTTTCTTTGATAAATGCAATATTCTTTCAGTGACCAGAGGAAGGTACAAAGAAGTCATTTCCTTGGTCATCCATCCTTCCACCCTCATCTCCCTTATAGAAGGATTATGGTTTGATGGTTGTTTACTGCCAGCACATAGGAGCAAAAACTAAAGCTTCCATAGCTCAGAGGTTTGCCTCTGCTCAACAGAGGCTAAAAGCTAGCCCTAGACCGAACTGGGATGGTACAAGCAAGAGGGCATCACTGTGTGACAGCTCAAGCCACATGGGAAACCCAGGTTCAGTTCCTAGCCAAAGCTAAACAGGCTGGGCATAATGCTGAGTCTGTTGCAGTCCTAGTTAGTTGGGAAGCTAGGGCAGGAGGGTCACCAGACCTAACATGGAGAGAGCCTCAAAAATGCTTTCTCTTAGAGACTGCACAGTGGCACAATGGTAAAAGGCAGTGCTCTGTGGGGCTGATCCATATGAGAAGGTTGCAGGCTTGCATCTAGAGACCTCCCTGAGTATGCTGGGCATGTGTGTGTTCATGATACAGGGCTGGTTGAAGCTAGGGATAGATCATGACATTGGACCCTGTGAAGGGTGCTGCCTCTCTCCCCTTCTCTCTTTTTCTGTCTCACTTACAGAAGAAAAAACTTTTTAAAAGCTTTCCCTCTTTGTGCACTTCTTGTGCACAACTGCATTCTCTCATTAATAAATAATGAAAAAGTCAGCTCTGTACTCACATTAAGGAAAGGAAAACTACGGTTGATGTTGAAGAACAAAACCAAAACAAAACAAAACAGTAACTCCACAGGGACAAAGCAACCCAATGTATACTTTTGGAAAAGTAGCTCCCACTGATATCTAAAGATAGTGTTAATAAACCAATCAGTTTCAGACAGAAAAAACAAGCTCTCGAACAAAAGACACAATCTCACATTTTAAAACTGAATAGAAAAGAGACAGACAGTCACACCTAAGAACTCAATCAACATTTTGGAAGAACTTAATGTTCAAAAAGAACTTGCTTACAACAAAAAGCAAGATAGAAGGTATAAAAGAGAAAAAAGATGTGAAACTTTCAAGGCCAATTTAGGAGAGCTAACTGTTGAGTAACTGGATTTCCAGTCTACAGAAAGAGAAACAAGTACAGAAGAAACATAAACAACAGAAGACAATTTCCAAACATATCAAGAAATGAATATTTAGTACAGGTGACATTTTTGTAGCCAGGTTTTTTAATGAAGACAATGGTGTGCTGACTTACCTTATGGCAAAATTCTTGTCTTCTTGAAAGCAGTAAATTTGCAGACTGACTACTCTGAGTAGCACTGTTTTATGTACACCTCTTGTTTATGGCTACTCCCATTCCATTTCTCTTCTCATAATGGCACTTTAATTTTTTTTTGAAAATCCACCTTCCCATTGTGGTTTGGATGGGGCTCATCCATAAGGGGTGGGGAAATCAGAGTCCCATATTCCAGGCTAGGTCAATAAAAGGAACCCCCAGTTTTTGTTAGAATCATGAGAAATTCTATCCACCTCACAATGGGATTCAGCAGTCAAATGCAGATGTACTGAAACTGTTTTAATTGGTAGAATTACAAATTCATATGAGTTAATAAATTTTATTTCCTCCCTTATTTAAGCTGGTGGGTCTCTAACTTTAGAGTATATAAAAATCACCTGCAGAGTATGTTAGGGGAAAAAAAAACCAACAGCTGAGATCCACACTCCATGATAAGTCTGGGGTGAGGCCTGAGAAGGTGGACGTATAACAAGACCCCAGGTGATGTTAGTGCTGGTCCAGGGACCACACGCTGATGCAATTAGCTTAAGCTACTATTAGTTATTTTGTGTAATTTCTACCTGAAAAATGGTGACCAATTTACCTCTAGTTAGATGACAATAAAGTAATCTTGAAGCTACAATTTCAAATGATCTAGAAAATAATAAAGTTAATTACAGCTATATACCCAAACTGGTACCATTTTTCTGTTGTTTTTTTCTTAATACTTAACAGTCTGAAATCATATCTCTAAAAATAAAGACAAATTGAGTGTACAACTTAAGAAATTCTTTTTTTTTCTTTTAGAGTTTGCTATAGAGCACGTGTTCTCACTAGAGAGAGAGAAAGAGAGAAAGAGACAGAATATAAGGGTGATGCGGCCATCCCTTCTCTTCCAGTCTCCTCTTGGGATTCTGCATGCACAGATTTCCAGTATGATTTTTCAGGCCACTGGGTATGGGACTCGAACAGTGCAGACCTCCACGTGGGATCTAGTGCCTTAACCTCCAAACGTCACTTGCTGGCCCAAAAAAATTCTTAAAAATAACAATAATTAAAGAAAGAAGACTTTATGCAGGTTAGATCTGAAAGAAAAGAAAAAGAAAACCAGCAAAAAGTATAGATAAAATATAATATATAAAATATAAGCTAATTATTTGAAAAGATACACTGAGCCAGCCCATGGCCTGGTAGTCAGAACATCTAGATCCACATAGCCAACCACATGACCTGGTGCCCAAAATCCTAAAAAGAGAAGAGAGCTGGAGAAGGGATCCGTGGAATGACAATGCCCTACGGGGGGGAGAAGGGGGGGTGCTTCCTCACTCCCCTCTCTCTGGGCAACTGCATGTACATTCTGAAAAATTTAAGAAAAATAAAAGATAAAATCACGAAAAATCTAAATGCAAAGAAAGAGAAAATAAAAACATAAAATATTTGAGAAAATTAAAATTCAATTGTTGGGGCTGGCAGGTCACACGGTGGTTAAGGCAGCTGAACTCTCACATGGCTGACCATGGCTCGAGCCCCAGATCTGGCAGCTTGCTTCCTCATTTTTGTTCTCTCTCATTGCTCATTGTCTTTCTTTGGTCAACTTCAAAAATAAATAAATTAAATTAAATAATGACAATGAGTAAAATTAAATAAAATAATTCTTACCAAAAAAATACAATTGCACATATGAAAGAGATGAAAAGAATGAAAGAATCGTATTGTAACTTTCTAGCACCGAATCAGAAAATCTAAACAAAGTAAATAATCTGTCAGCAAGCTATACCAAATCTTATTTGGAAGTAGAAAAATCCAACAGGTAAATCTGAAAATATAATGTTTTGAACTATAAAGGTTAAAGGACTAGGGGCCAGACAGTGGCATAGTGGTTAAGGTGCTCGACTCCCACATGGCTGACCTTAGTTTGAGTCCCAGACCTGCTTTCTCATTCTCTCTCTTGTGAGTGCACATGACCTATAGCAATTAAAAAAAATTTTAAATAAATCTTAAAGAAAAAAAAGTAAAGGACTTAGATGTTGTATAGCTTGGTTGGATTACCTTTTAAAGGTATAGGTTCCAAATAATTTTGATAATGCATACTCATGACTAAAATATTTTTGTACACCCACTGTAATGTATATATTACTTATATCAGGTATGTATTAGTGTATGCTATTAAACATACAAAAATAAAAGGTATGGCCCAGCCATAGTAGCACACAGTGGACGCTGCTGTGCAACAGGCTGAGGCCATATGGGAGCCTAGGTTCAATTCCCAGCACGACCTGAAAGGTTGGGTGCACCTGTGGTCCCAGTTACTCAGGTGGCAAATGCAAGAAAAATCATGATACAGCAAAACCCCATTTCAAAAGTGAAATATGCACACAATTAAAAATCAAATGATATAAAGTAAATAAATATAAACATAGCCTGTGATAGTTTCTCCACGTAAGAACAAAATATTGGGTCATCGGAAAAGTCATGATGTATTTTTCTGTTTTTCTATGCAAAAATGTGCCACAACATTTCCGACGACCCAATAAATCTATTATCTTGTGTATTCACTGGAACAGACACTCTACATGGGAGGCTACTGCTTTAATTCCTGTGTATGTTAAATTATTCAATAATAGAAAGAGATAGAACACGCCTAATTTATGAAGCTACAATAACCTTAATAAAACTTGATGTAGAAAATACACAAAAAAGTCAAAGTTCATGTATGATCAATAACTATTGTGAGCTGAATACATAAGCACATCAGGAAGAAGAATTAGAATAAGAATTAGTATTCCATAATAATATAAAAATGATTCAACTTTGGGGCTGGCAGGTAGTGTGCTCATTAAGGTGCTAGATTCCCACATGGCAAAGCACAGTTCAAGTCCTGGACCTGTACGCTTGCTTTCTCTCTCTCTGGTCAAATTGAATAGCAATAATAAATAAATAAAATTAAACAAATAATTATTTAAGAAGATTCAACTTTATAAAATGTATAGATGTCATTAATTTTACCAATAAACTAAAGAAATTACGTGAGTATGTCAATAGATGCTGAAAAGACTGCTGACATAATTCAGCAACTGTCCGTAATTAAAACTCAGAGCAAAAGTGGAAGAAAAAGGAAGCAATTAAACTTGATGATTATTCTGTATAACAATAGCAAACATAGGACTACATTAACACTATTAAGACCATTTCATGAAATCAGAAGTCAGGAAGCTTGCTGTCATTAGCATTACTCAACAATGCTTGGTAAATTCCAGTCCACTCCATAAGAATGTAAAATTAAAATTGGAGAGGAGATAAAGCTGTCCTGGAAATTTATAGTTTTCTTTATAGCAGCAATAACCAGTTAAAACTGAAGGGGAAAATTCATTCACAACATATAATAACCATTGTAATACCTAAGAATAAACATGAGAAAAGGTATGACTCTATATGAATATACAAGTTAAGCATCTCTAATCCCAAAAGCCCAAATTCGAAAGGCTCCAAATTCTGAAACTTTTTGAGCACTGACATGACACAACAGGTAGAAAATTCCATACCTGACCTCAATGTGACGGGTCGCAGTCAAAATGCTGTAATACAAAATATTGTATAAAATTACCTTCAGGCTATATATATTTGGTGTGTCTGAAACATAAATGAATTTCACGTTTAGACTTGGGTCCCACTCCCAAGATACCTCATTATGTATATGTAATACTCTATATGAAATCTGAAACATTTCTGATCCCGAGCATTTTAAGTAAGGGAAACTCAAGCTGTTATTACTAATGGATTCAAAATAACTTGAGCAAATGGTATGTGTATAAACTCTTTCCAATTCCACTCTCTTCTGTTGTTTCAGAGTAGACCCTGTCATAAATTCATGGTTCTTCATGCTTTTATGACACAGGTTAAGTATCTATAACCAATATATAAATCAATTGATGGCTTTTAAAATTTAATATAAATAGAACAGTACTACACACAACACTGCACGACTTGCTTTTTATTTAACATTGTATAATGGATTCCTTTTTTAAAGAGTTATTCACATTAATAAATGTAACTCTAACCTATTCATTTTAATTGCCATATTAAGAAAATAATATAATTAAAAATTCTCTTGATTATAGCTATTTAGGCTGTCTTAGATTTTGCTACAACTAACAATGCTCCAATAAAAATTTCTGTATAATTCTCTTTATGTAAATACAACCATGAGACACTCTAAGAAAACATTTTGAATCATGATTTGGTATACACAAACACACATCACAACCCAGAATTTTGTGAAACCATGATTACTCTTCTTACTACATGCAATGTCTTTGATGACTTTTATTCCGTTTTATTTCTTTTTAAAAATTAATAATGTTCACCATAACTAATCAAATTGATATTGAAGCCATAACTGGGTCCCAATCCATGGTTTGAAAAACAATGCCCTGGAAAATCTATCCAGAAGTGAAATTAAAGAATATGAACAATCTCAATTCTATCAGGTATCATCAAATTTCTCCCTGAAGTTTGTATAAGAAGTTTCAGCATTCATGTACAACATTCTTCACAATATTTGGTATTTTCAGACCTAGAAATATCTGCTAATTTAATGAAAGTAAAATGTCTCATTAAATTAATAATGCCAAGCATCTTTTTCTTTATGGTATATTTGTTTTTCTCTAGTATAAATTACTGTTTATCTGCTCATTTTCTTTCCTTTTCCTTTAAAGAGACTTTTTTTGTTACAGGGCATGTGTGCTTGCCAGAAAAGAAGAAAGAGACAGAGAGGCAGAAGGCAAGAAATCACCGCTGAGGAGGAATGGCCATGCCGCAGTCCCTTCTCCTCCATTCTCCTCTTGGGATTAAGTTGTCAGGTCCGAGACTCAACCAGTGGTCAAATACGTGAGAGTCCAGTGAAATAACCATTACACCATCTGCTGGTCCCTATCTATTCATTTTCTATTAAGCTTTTACCTTCTTTTTGACTTGTAGCGCTTTAAGTATTTTGGATATTACTTCTTTATAAATCCCAGTCTCTACCTTTGTTTATATTATTGGTGTTGGATTGTTTTATGTCAATTTGGGTATAGCAGACAATTATCTTTCCCAGAATCCCCTTCTCTGGAGAGCTTTAGGTAACTCTGCCAAAAGAGAAACTTCTACAATATTTGAAGGCACAAATACAACAGAAGCCATTATTCTTGGAGAGTCATTGTGGTCAGACACAGCAATGGACAGACACAGGTCTGCCCAGCAGGTCCCAAGTTCTTCTCTCTCTCAGGGGCTTTGTGCCCAGCTTGTCGTCCCACCTGCTGACCCTGCTGACCAGCAGCAGACTGACAACAGCCCCGGTCTGCAAATCCACAGATGCTCTAGCCACCCAGGTTGCAGCTTCCACATGCCTCTTCTGGGCTCCCTCTTTCAGCTAGATGTACTTTTGCAATTCCCTGCATGCTCTGCTTTGTCCAGCCTATGTGATGTTGCTGAGTGACTAACCCACTGCCTCTTCCATTCCTCTGCAACTCTGAAATCTGTATAAACTCTACATAAATCTGTAATTTGTAAAACACTTTGACTGGTTTTGTCTTCTTGAACGAACCCTTTCTTTGCTGGATGGAATTTTAAATTCTAGTCAATTTACTACCTTCTCCCTTATTGTCTGTGTACTTTGTGTATTTTTAAAAAATACTTCCCAAACCTGAAGTGATAGGGATGAACTTCAAAAAGTTCGCAGAATATGCGTATTATGAAAACTGGGTAGATTTCCCATTTTTTTTAACACAAAATGAAAAAAAAAAACCCTCATTCTAACTTGCTATGTCTGTCAAGAATTTAGTTTTCAGTTTGAGACACTAAGAAAGATAAGACATCAGTTTAGAAAGAGTCCCTACCAGAGCAATACGCACTTTGTTAAAACTGAGATATGAATAAACAAAATTTATGATAAAGCTTAGGTGTAAAATCATGCTGAAATCACTAAAGTTTTATTAAAAAAAAATTTCTGGGGACAACACAGAAATCAGCATTTTACAAATGCATCATCTTTTTTTTCAAGGATTTTTGGAAACAAAGAAAGAGGGAAAGCGAGAAATCACTCCCCATGGGGGAACAGCCATGCCACAATCCCTTCTCCTCCATTGTCCTCTTGAGATTTTGGACACATACACACACCTGCCCGGGGTAATCTTCAAGCCGCCAGTCAGGACTCAAACCACAGCTGGCTATGTGGGAGTCTAGCACCTTAACCACCATGCCACCTGCTGGCCCTAGGTAACTTGCTGTAGTTAGAAATGAGACTTAACTGAAGATGACCCCTCAGTAGTAGACCATCTAAATCAATCTACAAGGAGAAAATTAATCTGGTTTAGTCTATAATTGAAGAGAACTGATAATTATCAGCAGAAACAAGAGCCAACACCATAAACATCTGAGTCGATTCAGATCATATTCTTTTGACTGAAACATTAAAGTTGAACAAACCACTCCATAAGTGACAAAATAAGTTGCACCCACCCACATTAGCTGCAGACTAAAACGGAGCTTTCGATGAAAATTTTAAACAAGTGTGATCAAGATCCTGAAGCATTTATCAGAAGAACTGAAACAGGAGATGACATTTGGCTTTACCGGTATGATCCTGAAGACAAAGCATAATCAAAGCAATGGCTACCAAGGGGTAGAAGTGACCCAGTCAGAGCAAAAATGCACCAGTCAAGAGCAAAGACCATAACAACAGTTTTGGAGGGTGTTCAAGGCATTTTTGGTTGCGGACTCTCTAGAGGGCCAAAGAATAACATCAGCTGGATATGATAGTGTTTTCACACAGTCAGCCAAAGCTTAGCAGACAAATGCCTAGGAAAGTTTACCAGAGTCATTTCCTTCTCCAACAATGCTCCTGTTCATCCTCTCGTCAAACAAGGGCAATCTGCGGTGGGTTTTGATGAGAAATCATGAGGTATCTGCCTTCAGTCTTGATTTTGCTCCTTCTGCCTTTTAAATTCCTAATCTTAAAAAAACCTTTAGGGAGCCAGCAGTTAGCATAATGGCTATGTCGCTGGACTCCCACGTACTCAACCGCAGTTCGAGTCCCGGACCCGGTGGGTTAAAACTCACGCCGGGCACATGTGTGTGCGTGCCCAGGATCCCGAGAGGAGAATGGAGGAGAAGGGATTGTGGGGTGACCATTCCCCCTGGGGGGTGATTTCTCGCTTTCTGTCTCTCTGTCTCTCTCTCTGCCTGGCAAGCGCACACTTTTTTTTTGCGCACCCCCCCCCCCCAAAAACAAAACCCCCCCCAAAAAAAAAAAAAAAAAAAAACCCTTTAAAGGGCACATATTTTTCTTTAGTTCATCTGAAAGACACTGCATTGACAGGATTAAACTCCCAGTTCTTTTAAGGGTAGACTAAATGGCTGGTATAATTGCTCACAAATGTACCAAAATAAACTCACCTTTTTTTAAAAAAAAAAAAAGAGAGCTTTTTGCTATAGGGCATGTGAGCTCACCAGAGAGACAGAAAGTGAGAAACACTCCGAGGGGAGATGGCAGTGCCTCAATCCCTTCTCCTCCATTCTCCTCTTGGGATTCTGGGCACACACACACACACACACACACACACACACACACATACACGCCTGGTCTGAGTTTCAATCCACCAGGTCTGGACTGGAACCATGGTTGACTGTGTGGGAGTCTAGCAACATAACCATTATGCCATCTGCTGGTCCCAACCACAAGGATACATTCTAAGAAAAACATCACTTGGCAATTTCATCACTTGTGAACATCAGACTGTACTCACATAAACATATGTGATACGTAACCTGTTGCTCCGAGGCTACAGACCTGGGCAGCACATTACTGTGCTGATTGTTGGAGACAATTGTTAACACAGTGGTACATATTCATGTATCTATAATAAATACATATAGCCAGAGAAGAGGTACAGTAAAAATACAGTACAGATGGGAAACGGTGGTGGTATTTAGGGCACATACCATAAACGGAGCTTGCAGGACCAGATGTTGCAGTGGCTGTGACTAGGCGATAGGGATCTTTCAGCTCCATCATCATCTTATAGGACCACCACTGTAGATGTGGTCTGTTGCTGACTGAAATATCTTTATGCGGCACATGACTGTGGGTGTTTGCATGTGTGTATATAAATATAGACAAAAAGACCATATGGAAAGTAGTCTATTTGTCTTTCATTGGGCCAACATATCACTTAACTAGATATACTTGCATAGTTTGTAATAAATACTGATATCTACTACAAAGTGCCTCCATTTCCTGCTTTTCATCTATGTAATTGTGTTACCATTGATCTTAGAAGCTTTCAAATCAATTTTAGAATCAATCTTAATATAATTTTGAATGAAATTACATTGAATTTACAGATTTTGGGGAACAGTCTTATATAAAACATTAAGATCTGACAAATTCATCAGCAAAATACTCTTTTCTATTTATTTAGGCCTGCTTTTATATCTCTCAATATAAACTTGTCTTTTACTTCATGAAAGTCTATTACAGTTTCATCAGATTTATTCCTGTGTACACTAAATTAGTTTATATTCCAATTGCAAAATG